AAAAAAAATCATAAGTGGTAATGTCGAAAAATGAAAAAATCTAAAAATTAGGAAACTAAACAAACGAATAATCGAAACGTCGGAATATCAACAAATCCAAAAATCAAAAAATCAAAAGTTTTAAAACCGAAAAATTGAAAAATTTAAAAATCATTCATTTGAAAAAATTGAAAAATGAAAAAAACCGAAAAATCTAAAACCGAAAAGTCTGTTGAATATCGAAATATCAAAAAATTTAAAAATCTAAAATTTAAATATTTGAAAAATCGAAAAATATGTAGATAAATGGTGAATCGACAAATCGAGACAACGAGAAATCGAGAAATCGAAATGGAAAATACAAAAATTGAAAAATTTAGAAATTGAACAATCCAAAAATTGAAACATTGAACTATCGATAAATCGAGGATTCGAAAAATTGACAAACTGAAACATTTTAAAACCGAAAAATTGAAAAATCGAAATTTAAAAAGTAAAAATCGAGAAATCGAGGGAACGAAAAATTGAAGACCGAAATATGCAAAAATAGTAGACAAATCGAAAATTCAAAGACTTTAAATATTAAGAAATAGAAAAATTGAGAAATTAAGAAATCGAGAAGGAATCTTAACATCGAAAATTCCAGAAATCGAGAAATGGGAAAATCGAAAAATAGAAAAGTCCAAAAATCGAGGAAAAATTGAAAAACCGAAAAGTCAACAAAATCAGAAGTCGGGATATTGAATTATCAAAAAATTTAAAAATCTAACATCCAAAAATTCGAAAATTAAAAAAATGTGTAAATAGATAAATGGCGCATTGACAAATCAAGAAATAAGCAGTCGAGCAATCGAAAATCTAAAATTTAAAAAACCGAAAAATTCTATTTTCGAACAACTGAAAATTCTAAAAATTGAAAAATCGAGAAATCGAAACAAAAAGCTCGGAGTATTGAAAATTTGAAAATTCAAAAAATCTAAAATTCAAAAGTAAAAATCGAGAAATCAAGTGAACGAAAAATTGAAGGTCGAACTATTGAAAAATTGATAAATCGAACACTCGAGTAATCGAAATATTAGAAAATTGAAGAATTGGGAACCTGAAAAAACGGAGTCAAGTAATCTTAACATTGAAAAATCAAGTAATCGAGAAATGGGAAAATCAAAAAATCGAAAAATCTAGAAATTGAGCAATCGAAACATCGAAATATCGAAGAAACGAAAAATCAGAATTTAAAAATTAAAAATCCAGAAATCGAGAAAACAAAAAATTATAGGCCGAAATATTCGAAAATATGTACAGAAATTGAAAAGTCCTAAAATATAAACATTAAAAAATGGAAAAACTGAGAGATCAAAAAATCGAGAAGGAATCTTTACATTGAAATTCCACAAATCGAGAAATGGGAAAATCGAAATATAGAGAAGTCAAAAAATTGAGGAAAATTTGAAAAATCAAAAAATTAAATAAACGAAAATTCTGTATTTTAAAAGCAAAAATCGAGAAAACGAAAAGTTAAAGATCAAAATATTTAAAAATATGTAGAGAAATCGAAAAATAGAAAAACCGAAATATTAGAAAATCGAGAGACTGAAAAATCAAAAAGTCGAACTCTGCAGTTCTAGAAATCGAGAAGTGGTAGAACCGAAAAGTAGAAAAGTCAGGAACGGAGGAGAAATTGAAAATCGAAAAATCGAATAAACAAAAAATCAAAATTTAAAGAGTAAAAGTCGAGAAATCCAGAAAACGAAAAATTGTAGATCGAAAGATTCATAAATATGTAGAAAAATCGAAAATTCGAAAAATCGAAATATTACAAATTCGAGAAACGGAGAAATCAAAAACTCGAGAAGAAACCTTAACTCTGCAAATTCCAGAAATCGAGAAATATTAATAATAATAACATTAATAATAATAAGGCTTTATTCCTAACAGGTTTACACCCAATAACAAGGAAAACTAAAACTTAGGCTCAAATCAACCGCAAACAGTAAATAAATAACATACAGAAATGGAAACATCAAAAAATAGAATAGTCAAAAATCGAGGAAAAATTGAAAAATCGAAAAACTGAATAAACGAAAAATCTAAATTTTACAAGTAAAAATCGAGAAATCGAGAAAACAAAAAGTTGAAGATCGAACTATTCAAGAACATGTTGAGAAATCGAAAAATAGAGAAATCGAGATATTAAAAAGTCGAGAAACTGAGAAATAAAAAAATTGAGAAGGAATCTTAACTCTGCAAATTCCAGAATTCGAGAAATGGTAAAATCGAAAAGTAGAAAAGTCAGAATTGGAGGAAAAATTGAAAAATCGAATAAACGAAAAATCAAAATTTAAAAATTAAAAATACAAAAATGGAGAAAACCAAAAATTGAGGATTTAAATATTCATAAATATGTAGAAAAATCGAAAAGTTGATAAATCGAAATGTTAAAAAATCGAAGAACTGAGAAATCAAAAATCGAGTAGTAAAAGAATCTTAATATTAAAAATTCCAGAAATCGAGAAATGGGAAAATCGAAAAATAGAAAAGTCAAAAAATCGGAAAAAAAAATAAAAAAAATGATTTTTCGAGAAACTGAATCCCAATAGTGAAAAATCGAAGGATTGAAAAAAACCAAAACTGAGAAATCGAAAAATTGTTATCCAATTTTAGGGTAAAAATTCAACACGGATTCATAAGTCACAAGTTCAGGACTATGTCACTTGTTAACAATTAAATAACATTTAATCGACAAAATTGTAAAATGACATCATCAATTCGTGGGGGCCATGAATGGATAAATTTTGATTAACCATTTACCATACTTCCGATAACCCTTTAAAACGTTTGCAGAAAATTTGAAAGCTAAATCGTAAAATGTTGTTGTACAATTTTATTTATTTTTTTCTACAAAAATCTGGATGCTTATAGTAAAAACTCAACTCGGATTCATAAACCACACGTTTCTTTATAAAACTTGAATAACTGAATTTGAATTATCGTTTTACCATCTTGACGATATTCTTATCGTACAAACAAAATATATAGTCGATCAACTGATTTCAAACCCTCATCTTTTTATTAACAACTTTTTTTGTAGTACAAGTTTTTTCCAGTATTTTTTCACTGTGGACAATTGTTATGTTTGTTCAAGAGCTGTAAATAAGTACCAACTAAATAAATAAATGTAATTGAGAAAAGGCTCTCAACAGAAGTTCTACATTTATTATTAATCTATAATCTAAGAACGAACTAACTCAAGCACGTTATTATCCCCGCAACAGCCAAAAAATTCAAGTACTGGAAGCTTAGTTTACTCTGAGGTGGTGACAAAATTACTGTAGAAACTCGTCTTCCACACCCTTCTAACTTCAAAACGAATCAATAATAAACCTAACGCACTCCAACAAAGGTAGAAATATGCAAAAATTGCCAAATTCCGTAGACCTTCCGTACAAATTAATGAAAAAGCAGCCGCGGCAGCACTCGAGTTAATGAGACTATTTACTTAACCATTATAGATTGGAGTTGGTGGAAGACCGGCATCAAAATTGTTGTACTTCCCCATCCACAAATCAACAAAATTAATTATGTTCCGTAATAGGGGTAATTTAAACATCCGAACTATAATTAATGCTAAATAGCCATTTACGATAAATGATTAACTGCTGGCAAATTTGTACGAACACGATGTAAGCAAAACAAATTTATGGCTGGTTGTGTGCCCCACACTTACTACTTTAATAAAAAACATAAATCGCTTCGTCTAATAAATTGAAGAATCCTGCAACCCTAGTTACAAAAGTTTATGTTTTGTTTAATTAACCGTCTAAGATAAAAATCGCAACCTGCTTCTCCAGCGCCAAATAAAAAATGATTCTCTTTGTTCCCGCACAAAGCTATAGTAATATCTCTTAATATTGAATTAAGAAAAGTAAATTAAATGCCAGGTTTTCCTAAATTCTTGCCTTAAATTGATATAAATTGAGCAAAGGAAAAAGTTACGAGTTTCGTGGATTTGTTATTCGCCTCAAAAAATATCAGATTTATGAAGTTAATTATTTCTAGTCTGACCCACCAATTTTAGATGCTTTGCGAGTGCTCCCTATGTAAAATATTTAACTAATTCTATTGATTTATAAGTGGCGGTTGGTTACGTCTACAGTGCCTAAATTTTATCGAAATCACATAAATAATGCTGTTTTATTCGTTTGATTTAAATTTCACCAGGCGTTCTCAATGTGAATCATTCATTCCTTTTTTCAATTCTACAATGATTTCGTGGAGTTTGCTTCGATTGGAAATTAGTTACGGAAGTTGACTTGGATTTTACTGAACACGCGCTTTTCGGACCGATTTTTGACACAAAGATTGTGGTGTGTGTATTAATTGTTACATTTTAATACAACGAAAAGTGAATACATTACACATACAGGGTGATTTCGAAATGTGTCCAGTAAAAAAAAAATTGAAGAGCTCACAATAAGATTTATTACAGTGTGTAGAGTTCACCTTCGTCTGTCTAAAAAAAAAAAAATGATTTGAAATTAAATGTAAATTGTTATACACGCCACTGGTAGTATTTCTTGGCTTACATAACTACTATTCAATGAATGGGACAGAACGACTAGGATTAAGAATCAAAAAATTAATTTTATGCTTTCACTTTCTGTAAAATGAGTTTATCTTTATTTTTAATAAAAACTTAGTCGACTTACACCTGTCTTTGAATTCACACATAAAACAAACTTGTCAAAAAACCGTGGATCGGAATTACGATATCTAAATCCCCGCAATATGTAACTACAACGCAAAAAAGAGTAAGCCTTCGCATAATATAATCCTCAGCAGAGAATTTTCATAAAGCGAATCCATTTCAGACACTGCGTTTTCCTTTTTCCTTGCTGCAACAATGTAGAATTCCTTTGCATCGCAAAAATTGTCTGCTAAATGAAACCACTGAACGCGAAATAAAAGCTCGCATTCACCGTTTTGCCTACTGCCACTAACATTGTTCAAATGTACTATTCTAGTGAACGTTGTCGATGGAGAGATCTTATTTATTACGAAAGTTAGCAGGCTTCACATGGCCGTCTACTTATGCATCGCTTCAAACGGAGTTCCCCCTTCTATAAGCAAGAGGGTTCAGTTAAAAGTACAATGTAAGTCTGACTATACTCCTTAATGTCTATGTTGATTTATGTCTTATGTGTGCAGTTCCTCCGATGCTATCGATTCCGAATCAATTGGAGGGAGCTTACATAGGCCAAGATGTCACTCTCGAGTGCCGCACTGAAGCATTTCCAACCTCTATCAATTATTGGACCACTGAACGAGGAGACATGATCATCTCAGGTAGTAGTATTTGTCTAGTAACACAAGAAATGCATTAATGGTTTTGAAATATTTATGCTGTGGAAATTCTTAGCGGTGAATTTAATGTTTAATCCTGTTAGGTGTTGGATTATAACGTTTTGGGTAGTTTTGCATGATGTAAGATGGATGGTGGACTTGAACCAATTCGAGTACCAAAAGAGAGGCACTTCAGACTTATTACAATTATTATTATTATTGACCATTACAGGAAAGCTTTGACTAACAAAAAATTCAACATCGTGCTAATAAAAGAACAGTGTGCTCACTTTGTAACGAATTTTCGCAACAAGCCTAATTTAAATTTTTATGTTTGGTTTGTAGCAGAAGTGTGCTATCGTAGTAATGATGCAATCTCATACTACGAAGTTTAATTAAAACTAGAAACTAACTAAGTAGTTAAATTTATTTCTCTAATTTTATTCTTTTATTGTAAACACTAATTCTCTCTGGAATAAAAATACACCTTATTTTTTAGCTTATAGACAACGAAAATCATACTCTGCAAAATTTACAAGAAAAATACTTAATTTTTCGACACCTGGTCCTTGTTATGAAAATGTTTACTCCTTTTCGTGCACTTTTGAAAATCACCCAAGAGAATTTTTTATTGTTTCCGATTTGCAGATGTTATATTTGACTGTATAATTTCAAAAATTCTAAAATAGCAAAATTTCTATACATTCATTTTTGGGACATTAAGTAAACATTTTTTTTCTAAACTGAATGTTTCGAAAATTTTGGGATACCCTTTCCGATATAGCTGGTCGAGACCTATCTCTAATGTTTTTTAGGTTGTTAGGCGAATATGAAGTGTCCCAAGCTCTTTTGAAAACTACATAAGGAAATTTTTTTGTTGATTTCACTTTCCAGAAGTTGTTCTCGATTAGGTTTCTGTAAACATTTCAAACATTTTTCCAAAATCGCCAAAATGAAATGTGGCGTCTGTTGGGATATTTTAAAAATTTTATTTTGATTCTAGTTATTTCGAAAATCTCGTCTAGGATCATCACGAGCCTATTCTTTTGAATTTCTAAGTTCCAACTATTTTTTCAAAATCGTCGAATTTAAATATGGCAATTTTCGAGACATTTTATAAACTTAATTTCAAAGCCATATATTTACTTCGAAAATCTTGGGTTACGCTTTATGAAACAGCTCGTGGAGATCTATATGCTAGAATATTTCTGGAATTTAATTTTCATTTTCAGTGTTCCTCTGATGGAATTTGTGACCTTTTTCGGAACATTTTTGAAAATTAGCTAGAGATTTTTTGTTGATTTCGACTTCAGAAGTAGTTTTTAGTTACATTTTTTGGGAAATTCCAACGATTTACCTAAAATCGCCAAAATGAAATATGGCCAATTTTAGGATATTCCAAAAATTCGGTTCTGAAATCAAATATTTAAAAAATCGTGGATTGGAACCATCACCTTTAGAATCAGCTCGGTGAGATCTAAAACTCAGAATAACTTCTGTATAATTAGGCAACTTCGAGAAAAGCTAAAATTTTCATTTTTCTCTCATAATATTTTTTGCTTTTTTCCCAGCACCTTCGAAAATTACATAGCTCCTTAATATGAAATTTTTGATCTTTTTCTAAAAACTTTCAAACCCATCCTAGCAGATTTTTTGAGTGATTTCAACTTTGAGAAGTTGTTTCGGGCTATATTTCTTAGAATTGGAACGATTTTTTAAAATCGTCAAATTAAATATTTTATTAAATTGCCGATTTTGCGACATTTTAAAAATTTGAACTAGAAACTAAATATTTGGAAACTTTTGGGCTAGAATTATCAACAAGTTCGCTTTTCATAAAGCTGTTTCATAACAGCTCCTCACCAACTTTGAGGAAAACTCAAATTTTCACTTCCCCTTCATGAAATTTTTTACTTTATTTCGAACATTTTTGAAAATTACTTGGTTTTTCAAGACCACCCTTTTTGAAAGTTTCGATCTTTTTTTGAAAATTACCGAGAGTTTTTCGTAGATTTCCACTTCCAGAAATTGTTTTCCGTTACAATTCTTCGAAAACTCCAACAATTTCCCTCAAATCACCAAAAATCTTGGATATTTTAAAAATTCGGGTTCAAAACCAAATATTTGGAAAACTTGGGTTAAAACCATCACCAGACTGCACTTTTCGAAATAGCTCGGCGAGATTTATAACTCAGAATTTTTCCAAATAATTAGACAACTTTGAGAAAAGTTCAAATTTTCACTTCCTCCTTTATGACTTTTTTTTACCTTGTTTCGAACACTTTCGAAAATTACTAAGTTTCCAATTTTTAATCTTTTTCTGAAGTATTTTTGAAAATTATCTAAAGAGATTTCCTTGCTAATTTCGACTTCCAGAAATTATTTGCGACCACGTTTCTTCGAGGTTTTCAACAATTTTCCAAAATCGCCACAATAAAATATGTCCTTTTTTGGGATATTTTAGAAAATAAAATTGATTTCGAAATCGAATATTGCGAGAATCTTGGATTAGAACCATCAACTGACTGCATTTTTCGAAACAGCTCGTCGAAATCTATACCCTAGATTTTTTTCTGAACAAGTAGGTAACTGTCATGAAATTTTTCTTCTTTTCAGATCACCTTGGACAATTATTTTTCTGAATGATTTTTAAAGCAAGTACCGAAAGAAATTTTTTGTTGACATCAATTTTATGAAGTTGTTTTCAGGGTACATTCCTTCAAAAATTCCAACCATTTGTAAAAAATAGCCAGAATGACAATTTTTTGGGATCTTATAAAAATTCTATTTTAGAACAAAACATTCGAAAATCTTGATCTGGAACTATAAACAAGCTCTCTAAGTAGCTCTATTATATGAGACAATTTTTCGTGAGAAAATAGGCAATTTTGAGGAAAGCTCAAATTTCCACTTCATCCCCCATGAAATTTTAAACTTTTTTCCAAATACTTTCGAAATCTACTTGGAGTTTAAATATCCTTCGTCATGAAGCTTCTGAGCTTATACTAACTAATTTTCCACAAAGATATCTTTTTTGGACAATTTTAAAAATTTTTGTATTGAAAGCGAATTTTTTCAAAATCTTAGGGTGGGACCAGCTCGTCGAGATTTTTATTTTAGAATTTTTTCTGTACAATTAAACAACTTTGAAGAAAGCTCAAAATTTCACGTTCCTTTTATGAAATTTTGACTTTTTTTCAAACACTTTTGAAAATTACCCAAACAGATTTTGTTGTTGATTTTGACTTATAGAAGTCGTTTTCGGCTACATTTCTTGGAAAATTGCAAGCATATTTTCACAATTTTGCGATATTTTAAGAATTTGATCTTGAAACCAAATATTCCTAAAATCTTGACTGGAATCATTAACATGTTACGCTTTTCGAAACAGCTCGTTGAAATTTATACCCCAGAATGTTTCTCTATAATTAGGCCCTTTGAGAAAAACTAAAATTTTCGTTACTGCCTCATGAAATTTTTGCTTCCTTCCGAACTATCCAAAGATACTTTTTGGGTGATTTCGACTTCCAGAAGTTATTTTCGGCTACATTTCTAGAAAATCATTTTTTAAAAATCATCAAAGTTAAATATTGTCATTTTTCCAAGATTTTGAAAGTAAACATTTCGAAAATCTTGGGCTATAAGAACTATCAAGATTTTTTCTGGATAAGTCAGCTTTGGGGAAACTCAAATTTTTACCTCCCCCTCATGAGATATTTTACTTTCTTCCGAACACCTTCGAAAGTTACTTGGTTTTTCAGTACCACCCCGTTTTGAAATTTTTTACCTTTTTTCCAAAGTCTTTCGAAAATCACCGATATTTTTATTTCCACTTCGAGAAATTGTTTCCTCCTACAATTTTTCGAAAAATCCAAGTAGTTCCCCGAAATCGCCAAACTTTTGGATATTTTAAAAATTTGAGTTCGATACCAAATATTTTAAAAATGTTGGGTTAAAACTATCAATTGACTACACCTGTCGAAACAGCTCGTCGAGATTTGTAGTCCAGAATTTTTATAAATAATTAGGTATCTTTGAGAAAAGCTCAAATTTTTACTTCCTCATTCATGATTTTTTTTTACTTTTTTCCGAGAACTCCCGAAAATTAGTAAGTTTCTCAATACCTCCTTATAGAATTTTTGATGTTTCTCTGAACTACCTAAAGAGATTTTCTTGTGAATTTCGATAAATTTTCCAAAATTGTCAAAATGAAATAACCGTCCATTTTTGGGATATTTTAGAAAAATTGAATATTTTGAAAATCGTAGATTAGACCCATCAACAGGCTGCATTTTTTGAAACAGCTCGTGAAGATTTATACCCTAGTTTTTGTTGTTGACATTTAGGCGACTTTGAGAAAAATTCGAATTTTCAATTCTCTATCATGAATTTTTTTAATTTTTTTCCTTGCACCTTGAACGATTACTTTGTCTTTCAATAACCCACTTTTGATATTTTTTACATTTTTCCGAACGGTTTTGAAGACTACCCAAAAAAAGTTTTTGATACATGGATTTCCAGAAGCTGTTTTCTTTCAAGGTACATTTTTTCGAAAATTCTAACCATTTGTCCAAAATCGTCAAAATTACACATAATCATTTTTGGTATATTTTAAAAATTTGATTTGAAAACCGAATATTTTGAAAATCTTAATCTGAAATTATCAACAAATTGTCTAGATCTAGAGTAGAGAATGTTAAGTAGAAAAATACATAAGTAATTTTGATAAAAGCTCGAATTTCCACTTCACCCCTCATGAAATTTTTAACTTTTTTCCGAACACTTTCGAAAATTAATTAGTGTTTCAATATCCTCCCTTATGAAACTTCCGACCTTTCTCTGAACACTTGAAAATTATCGAAAGAATTTGTTTTAATTATTTTTGACTTACTGAAGTTATGTAACGTAAAAATGTAAAACTTTAACACATTTTTCAAAAAAGGATACGGCCAATTTTGAGTTACTTTAAAATTTTTAATTTTGAAACCGAATTTTTCGAAAATCTT